AGTAAACCATGATTCCTCTGCAAGCCTCCCACTTAACACCTAACGACACTTCCATGGCATGCTGCAATTCAGCCCTTGTCATCCACTCTGTTCTCTCACTTCCATGCTTCCAGCTTCTTGGTGCCGAATTTAATGTTGTTCAATGTCCATTTGCCATGGTCGAGAAAGGCTCGTTTTGTTGGTCGGCAAGAAGAGGAATGGCTGTGAGACCAGTTAGGATGGTTGTGGTCTGTCAAAGCATGCGCGACTGCCTGCCTCACCGGATTTCGACGTGCGAATGCGAGGTGCTTTGGATGGTGGAATACGGTCGATACATCTACATTTAGTTCAAGCTCTGAATGACGTAACCCGACGCACCGCAATAACCGTTAGTCTGTCAAGAATTAGGTGAATCAGGACATTGCTGCGCCGAGTAATTGAATAATCAGGCAGTAGGACACATGATGTGAACAAGTTTAAAATTTATTCCAAAAGTTATAAGTACTCAACCACGGATACTACTGGTAGAACACGTCGCAATAAAGTGGGGAGCGGGTAAGAGGGAGTATGGAAGGGATTAGGGGTACATAGATAATGCCCACAGAGGGCCCCGTGTGTCCGCACACTATGCAGACTCTTCAACCGCAGCCTCGTTGGAGCTTGTCTCCACCTGCTGTTGAAGTGAATCTTCTGCGTCATCAGGGGTCTCCACTTTGACCTCGTCGGATGAAACGTCAGCTTCGGCTTGCTCAGTTCCTGCTACAGGGGAATCCTCCTGTTGGGGCTAAAAAGTAGAACAGGAACGTGACCAATAGAAGTCCTGGATGAAACAAGGCTAGAAGCTACCAAAACCTAAATGATAGAGAGATAAACTACCTCGATGCTATTCGACCCAGACGCGTCTTCCTCGGCTAAGCTATCGCTGCTCAGGTCGTGGGTACACGAGTCTGGCGAATCGATAGCGGTCTCTGACTCCGAAATCCGACGTCGTTTAGCTGGACTTTCCGATGGATCGAGCGACACCCTCCCACCGTCGAATATGGGCGAATCGCGTTTCAATGAACCCTCAACAAAATCGGTTGAAGTTGGGGGCTCAGGGATTTCAATATCGATTTCTGATGTCTACAAAGACAGGGCATAATGTCTGACGAATAGCCACCAAGCCACAGTTTTAAGCATGCGATTCTGAAATGAGGACACTCATAATTGGTCAGAACTTTCTTGAACCGCTCTCTCGTGAGAAAAAATGATAAAAAAACATGTCTTGAATCGAGAGACACAGGGTGAAAAGTGAAGAAGTGCCAAACCCACGTTGCCAACACACGCAGCAAAGATTTTTCAAACCTGCTTCGTTGATTCGGACCGCTAAACCTCCCAACAACCTGCAACGGACCAGGAACCAGCCCGGCGCATCGCACGAACTTCGAAACAACATTTGTTTCCAGGTTGGAACAATGCGGCAACATCCGGCAAATCGTCCAATCATTTGTTCTCATTGTAGAAAGCAATGAGGAGACGCCCCCAAATGCCAACGACCCTGAAGGTCTGCAGGGCATGAATTGATTGTCAGTTTACGACTGTGATCTGATACGATTCCAACTCCACCTTTCCAATTCAACGGAACAAGAGCCGAATGTTCTATGAATCGCTGTCTGACGAGAGATCAGTTTCGAATACTATGGATAATTGGGCGTCACTTGCGGTTTGTTCAAACATCTACGAACATGTGGGACCATACTGGTTAGCGAGTATTAGGTCCTGACAACATGCTACATATCCGTGCCCAACTGATGAGAAAAGGTCACAAGAACCTACCTTCGGAAACAACGTCAAACTACCTAAATTTCAGCCCGACCACAGCTTCGGGAAATATTCGCTCTACGTGGAACCAGTTACTTTTGGCAGACAGGATACAACCGACACGTACCTCGGCCTTTTCCTCGTCGCTTGCACTTGCAACAATCTCATCATATTCTCCTTCATTTTTGTTGAAGCCTTCCTCTACGTGCTCCTGGGAGGAATCTGTGGAAGTCACTGTGGACAAACCTGGAGCAGTAGACGTCGTGGTGGTGGTGTCAATGGAAATGGTGTTGACGAAGGCCTCAAGCTGTCCCATCGGTCGCAGCATCTGATCGATCGGTGGGACGGCAGTTGTGGAAGTGAGCGTGGACTGGGAATGAGACGGCATTTTCATTAATTTCTACTGCTTATATTATTGTACAAAACGAGCCAGATTAGTTATGCTTCCTCAAAGAATTAGGAACATTTTGTTCACAGAACGAACTCCAATGCTGACATTCGAGAAGAACTCACCTTTCCCGCTTCGTCTGCCCCTGTTTCGGAGAAGAGCTTTTGAATTGAGAGGATACGCGCGCCCTCTTCCATTGCATTCTCACCCTCCTCTTCCCTCTCCACATTCTGCCGACTAGACTCCTCGGAAAGCGGTCGGAACGACGAAGACGCTCCGATAAGAAATGGGCGCTGCAGAGTGTACTTCCCAGGGATTCCGGGACTATGTGACCCAAATAAATTGTCATTTATTGATTTATGAGTGTTTTCTGTCGATTTTGAAGGAGAGGCCTGTATTAATAAAAAAGGAAAGCCGTGAAGATACTTTATTAGCGAATCATGTTAGCGAATTGGATGTCGAATGTAAATGACCATGACCCGTGCTTCCGCAGCGTCACGAATGAACACTTGCACAAAGAAAGCGTAGAAATTCCAGTCAGAAATATGCACGCACTGAATATAAAAGCACAAACTCGAACCTTAAAGATAATTTCAAACGGGTGCCATGGAATCGACGCCAGATAAAATCATGCTTAACTAGACAAGGTAGACTGCTGCCTAAAGTTACAATTCAAATACAAACGCTCGCACTAAAAAGCATTAATCTTACTCTATCAGCTGAGCATGCTGGTGAAGCTAGGGGACGATAGAAGTTGATACAGGGTCTCCTTGTGGCGATAATGGAACCATGTGGAACCACACTGTCCTCTTCGATATCATCGTCTTCTTCGTCTGACCGTTTTGTCCCAGTCGAAGATTCCTCAGCTGAACTGGTAGACGCACCATCAGTAAAGGAACCATTTGCTATGCCCGTAGACGATTCCTCAATGCTCCCGGAGAGTCGTGGATCCACATTGTGAATTTTGCTTTTAGAAAAGACAATGTGGAATGAAATTGGCGATGGTGATCAAGTAGGTGAACACATTAACGTACTTTCCAAAGCAATCAATAGTAGAAACAACCAGACAAGCCTTTTCAAAACCACGCAGATATTTGTCCGGACGAGTATAGTGTTTTCGGGGCTGTATAAGGAGTTCACAAAGCCTTTGTATAGTGAAAGGGGTTCTGAGATTCAGAAACTGAATACACAACCTACCCTTCAAATTGGCGGAGGATGTTGTATACTCTTTCCTTAAGTTTATTCAATTCCGCAGTCTGAAACACTGATGGAGAGAGAACCTCTTTGGCATCTTCAATAAACTTATCCACAACTCGGTTAAATTTTTGTAGAATTAACGGCTTAATATGAACCCAGGGAATGCTACAATTAAAAAAATGGGCGCGTACAAAGTGAGACCATGTTTGGCTATTTCCCTGAGGTATTCTTCAAGAATAGGAGGGGTTGGTGCATTTGAGTTGCTCTCAAGGGCTAACCAAAGGTATTTTCACCAGTTATTGACCTACTGTTCAAAGCCGAAAGTATGCTTTCTTTATTCTCCATATCCAAGAGTGTCATGTGTGCTGGCCACGGCACTATTACACCCAAAATTGTAAGACTGCGACACAAAAAAAATAACGGGAAACGGCCAATAGGCAATAAGACTTTGTCAAATTTAAGAAGGTTGAGGATTTGATGGAAGACTAAAACAAAATTAAACTTAGGATAGAAAACAAAACACTTTTTCTCAGGATTGTCTTTTATGGCTACGCAGTTTGCCTAGCTTATAAAATAGCTGTAAATATCTAAGTTTTATTTTATTTAAAGCAGCATTTATGAAATTTAATATAGGTGACCACAGTTTAGGCTCACTTCGAGCTAATTCTTGTTAAATAAAGCACTTCGTTATATATACCCGACCCCATAGAATTTTTTATTAATTACCAGAACCAAGATATGCTTATTTAACTTACTTACAATATACAGTAATTGCGTCCCTCCTGTTTGTCGCAGTAGAAAATTCAATTTTGACAACACAACTTGTAGCACATCTCAGTTGCAACATTGTATGCTAAATTTCAAGCTAGTTTTTCAGATAGGGTTTAATAGTGGTTGTGTTAGCGTTTCAGATTTTTGAATACTTTTTTGCCAAATCTGTAAGTTCATGACTTACCAAATTTTCGACTTTTTTGCTTTATAACATAAATGAAACCCCTTAATTTAGTTTCAACTGTAACCTTCTTGTGACTTTTTCGTGTTTTTTGTCCTTTTTTTGACGCGAACGATTCTACTTGGCTGGTTACTGATCATCGGACCTTATAAAATAAAATTTTCGCTTTTTGAAATGATATCCGGAATGATTTTATTGCTTGTATGCCTCACTCATTCAGTCTCAGATCCATTGAATAGTTGACATGATGAGTTTATCGAGCAAGCTTTTTCACTGCATGGAATTTATTCACTTTTTTTATGATCTCAATTATTACGCTTCGGAGCCTGTGTGCCTCACTACGTAAAAACGGGCTTACACTTTAGGTGGTTCACCTTCTAATCAGTTAAGACTCAAGTGCCTTTGACCGTCTAATCTCTTACACAGTATCTGTGCATTGCACCGAAGCCTCTAAAAAACTAAAGTCAAAATTAATAACCGCTAGTTACACCGACGTGCCCACCATGCTCATTTGGCCTACGTTTAATCCCAAAATGCTAGGTAATCTGCAAAATAAAAACTATGTGCTTTTTAAAATTTGTGGTGGACTTTAGGACTTGTTGTAAAATGTATGTAAAACCATCATTGTGCGTCCTCTTTTTTAAGTTCCGATGCGATTATAACACATTTATAATTTTTGACATGGAAAAATTGTCTTTTTCTGTGTACAAAAGTCTATTCTTTGTTTATTGTCAAGTTGAGAACGCTATATTCGTGTCTTGATTTAGTAACTTTTGTTATCGGAACTGATCAACCTTTTGCATAATATTGAAAGATTATTTCAGCAGTATTCCTTTGCCAAATTCATGCTCTTTGTGTTTACTTGAGAGTTATGATGATTCAGTTTGGTTTTAGTATACAACTTGTGATATTTTACCTTCTATTATCTATGTACGCGAGCGCATTACTAATTCAAGGTGCTCCAATGCGGTTTTTGATGTTATTGTATTTTCACCAATCGTAGAGGCGGAGGTTATTTTTGGTAGTAAAAGTTAATGTCTCATATGTCTTCCTGGGCCGATATTATGTTACCTAACAAAGTAACCCTCTTGCGATTGGCGTAAAAGCACTCACAAGGATTTAGTTCACTAATTAATCGAACAATTATCTGCAAGTACGATGATAGAGAAACAAAATTTTGCTCCAAACATAGGCAATTGTTAGACGCAAGATTTTCATCCTGTCTGCAAAATTACATTTGTTCTTTCCGCCTCCATCACTCTTGAAGCATTTCAGATCGTAAAAATGAAACATGTAGCCACAGTCTTCATTCTAATACAATTTTTCAGTGACTCAATCAAAAATTGATTTCAATCAGGCAAATGCTGAAGTTAGGACTTGGGCTGATAATTTAAACAATAAGCTTCGATGGACTCCTGCTTACCCAATGCGCGCTAATCGAGTTACATTTGAATAATTTACCACGAGTAAGGTGACTGGCTCACTAGCTCAAAATTCAATATTTGCATACTCACATTTCACCCTGAGTTGACTAAATGCTGTTTATCACTTTTGCAGCCAACAATATAACTATGGTGCAGCAGCTAACACCTTAATTTTTAACTTGAGAAGACTTTCATGAGGATTTGACTTGACCTTGAGCTGACCTCTAAAGATCACATTGATTGGACCAATCTTGCACTTTGTAATAAATTGGATTCTCTTACCAAATGAAACTTAAGTCGGTGGGATTTTGAATTCGAATTCCCGCATATTTGTGCCAAAATCAGCCAATATTTAAAGGGAATTTGTATGTCTGTGTTTAATATAGAATTTCTCAATTCGTAAATTATGCCTGAGTGCGAATTGCTATAAATTGGGCCGTAGAAACGCTTTTTAGCTAGGGCGTTGTCTGATCCCACTGCTGCCATGGAAACCACTACGTTGGACGTGATCGTGCGGACACGAATCATACACATCGTGGAAGTGTGCATGATGATCGTTAATTCTATGTATGACGTAGGAGAGCAGCAATCATTGAAATCCACGATGCTGGTTGTTGTTTTCCCCTAGAAATCATCCAAATAATTTTGAGTCACTTCAAATACCGGGTTCGCACAAAAATGGTGTATTTAAACACTTACTTTTAGCTAATCGATTGTGTCCTTTAGGTAGTGCAATGATTCCGTAGCAGATGGTAAGACGACATACTAACCAATTGTGTTTCTTTAACGAGGCAATTCATGGACTACGTCTACTTGGTGACTCGTTCGTTTGAAATTTGCGGTTTTGCGGATTCGCTGAAATGAATCACTGGCATCGGCTACCATCTGATTTTCGGAAAAGGTTTTACCAAGCAGACAACAATATTCAGGCACGCTATCGCGTTCAAGAAAACGGTGAACTTTAAAAAGAGACACTGTAGCCAGTCTCACCTACTTGTTCATGCAAAGACCTCCCAAAATCAGGAAAACCAGTCAATTTATCACTCTGAAAGCAATCAGGTTGCTAAAACTGCCATGGCTTCTTCAACACGAGGTTTATACTGTGCCCTCTGTGAATGAACTCGAGTGAAGCCTACTCACGTATTGATTTGATGTCATTGACTATTGATTAAAGCTACAAATCAATATTCACTCTCACATGCACGTACAAAAAGTTTCTAGGGTTGTCTGATGATAATTAACTGCTGTAGTTTGTGCTGCCCGTAATCGGAATAGATCCTAGAATCAGTGGATCCTAGTGCATTTTTGGCTTTATTGTTAAATGCAATTCAGGGTGTGTTCTGGCCGAAAATACCATCTACATGTTGTAATATAGTAGAAATCTGTTAATTGTAGTCAACTGTTGGGTTGTGACCAGTCTAGTCATAGAAGCATTCGTCAGCATACACGACGTATTCAAATCCCGATGTCAAGTACGGCTTTGTGTTCTTGTTCGAGGAAGGTGGCATTTCTCCAACGCACCTCCAAACAACGAGGGATCCACAAACAGGAAGCCAATCAAATAGGCCAGGGGGCTGGTGTAAGTGAGCCATTTAAATCGATTGAGGGTTTGAGTGCTTATAGAGAAGGGGCAGTCGCAAAATTCGGCCGTGCAAATAGTCCAAAGGGAGGCGGAAAGTGCGTAGGGTGACCACGTGACCATGGAGACGACGCACATCACGAGGACTTGTAGAACCGCCTTTCGTGATGCTGCTGTTCTAGAGCACGAGACGTTTGCCTTGGAAAGTTGGTTCTCTGTGCAAGTAGTGCCTTGTTCAATCATTGGAATTCTTTGGTTAAAAGGTTCGTTAGTGTCCGCGGGCTAAAATACATAATTCTCCAATCTGTCAAGGTTGACTTTGGTGACAAATGCGCAGACCTAACACGCGTATTTTATTGGTTAGAAAACTGCTTCATTTTAGCGGATACGGTGGCTGTCTTTAATCTTTGCCGTAGTAACTGCTTTCAGATATTTCACATGCAAATAAATAAACTAAGCAAGTCAATACTACTGAGTCTTTCGTTTAAATCGCTCCATCCATGGCGGCCATTAAAAAACAAGGCTAAATTTTACTGCAGTTTTGACTTTTTCTGTTAATTGTTAGCTATACACTCGGTCAAAATTTAAAGATTACAAAATGAGAAGTTACAGGAAAAGGTTTTTGTTTTGCCTACCGTGATCAGACATCTTGAATTTGTTTTTGTACTGCCTTTTGCTCTGTCTGTGAATGAAAGAGGCGCTGTGACAACACAGTGGCGATTCTAAACGGATTCACTCAACCGCCGAAGAGTCAAACAGAAGCAATGTGACACAAAACACAAAATCGGAGACAGCTTGAATGACGACGAAGTGCCATTTAAAACTCCATAGACAGGAAACATAAGCTAGACCTGCATTATTATAAAAAAAAGTGTTGTACTTTAAACTACCACCATGCCTACTCCAAAAGTCCTTTACCACAAATCATTTTGCTAAATGGGAATTTTTCATGATTTTACTTCAAGTATTTGGCAAATAATTGTCACTTTCAATATGTTTACTAAGTTTGCACTCGATTAACCAGCAAAATTCTGCTAAAAACTTTGCATTTTATGCCAATTTCAGACAAATATTTCAAGTGTAGAAAAAAGGAAGCATCCACTAAGTCAAGTAAATCTGCTCTGACTCGCTTCGGCAAAACGTGGAACGCATTCTTGCATTTTAAATAACAAGTCCTGTTGAATTCCCACTGGGTGCCGGCCCGGCGTTGGAAAGAGTTGCAAGGAAGGGAAACTCTCTTGCGGGTAGTGGCGT